TGAGTTTTTGGGTTTCTTTTTTTGTGTGTGTTTGGTGTTTTTTTTGTTTTTTTTTTTTGTTTTTGTGGTTTTGGGGGTTTTGGGGGTAGTGGGGGGTTTTTGTGGTTTTGGGTATGTTTGGGGTTTTTGGGGTCTGGGGGTTTTGGGGGGTTTTGGTGTTTTTGGTGTTGTTGGGGTTTTTGGTGTTTTTGGGGGGTTTTTTGGGCGCTAACCTCCTTTAAAGGGTTTTGATGCAGCGCCCCTTGATTTATACAAGGGGTGCCCTCCCTTCTGTGATTTGGGGATCGCATAGTTGGAAGTTCCAAAATCTTTGGGGTTCAGGGTTTAGGGTTTGGGGGTTGGGGGTTTTGGGGTTCAGGGTTTCGGGCTTAGGGTTCTTTACCATAGTGTAATTGTTTCTTGGATCTTCTCAAGCCTTGTTTTGTTTAAAGCCTCTTTGAGTTTGCTGAGACTTAGTCGATCAAGCCTTCAAGACTACGCCAGAGTTCAAACGTACTTTGCGCGCCGCCCCAAAAACAACTCAGCGGATCTCATTTTCTGACATTCTTTCAAAGTTAAACAAAGTATTGTAATACTCGCATTAATACTAAAAATACGAATAGTACTAACCATACTCACAATACTAATCAGACGCATAGGTCTAATAATACTCGGACTACTACTACTACTACTACTACTACTACTACTACTACTACTACTACTACTACTACTACTACTACTACTACTACTACTACTACTACTACTACTACTACTACTACTTACTACTACCTACTACTACTTACTACTACTTACTACTACCTACTACTACCTACTACTACCTATTACTACCTATTACTACCTGCTACTACCTGCTACTACCTACTACTACCTGCTACTACTACCTACCTACTACTACTAACTACTACTACTACTTCTACTACTAGTACTACTACTTCTACTTCTACTACCTACTACTACTACTACTACTACTACTACTACTACTACTACTACTACTACTACTACACTACTACTACTACTACTACTACTACTACTACTACTACTACTACTACTGCTACTACTACTACTTCTACTACTACTACTACTACTAACGATATCAACAGTACTAACAATGCCATTAATACTAAGAATACTAGTCGTAACGCAACCTCAGCGTATTGTAGGGTTCGGGGCCTGGAGCTCAGGGCTCAGGGCTGGGTTTAGGGTTTAGGGTTTAGGGTTTAGGGTTTAGGGTTTAGGGTTTAGGGTTTAGGGTTTAGGGTTTAGAGTTTAGGGTTTAGGGTTTAGGGTTTAGGGTTTAGGGTTTAGGGTTTAGGGTTTGGGGTTGAAGGCTTAGGGTTTAGGGTTTTGGGGCAAGGGATTTTGAGATTGGGGTGAGCAGTGCTTCGGGGAAAGAGCTGAGGGCTTGGGGCTGAGTGTTTCGGGGTTGGGGGTTTAGGGTTTTGTGAAATCCGTTGTTGATGATGTTTGGGATGTTGTGCTCGCTTCCGGCAGATTCTGCAAGGTTTTGGTGCCCCCGCTGCCGGCACTGCAAAAAAAGACTCAGGGTACGAATGTGACACTGTTGCTGTGGAGGCTGCAGTTCTGGATGCTAACATAGATAGAAGGAGAGACCGGTTTAGGGTTTAGGGTTTATGGTTTAGGATTTAGGGTTTAAGGTTTAGGGTTTAGGGTGGGGTCCTTGGTGAACCATGTGTACGTTGTCGGTCGTCTGTCGCTGCTTCGTGTCTGGGAAGTCACATGACACGTTTTTCTTGCGTGCCCTGGCAGGCTTGACTTTGAAAACTCTACTTTCTTTTCCAAAGCGCTGCAAAAGACCAAGCAAATCTCGGAAAATGAAACCCATTTCCAAGCAAGTGCCATATTTCGTCATGACAGGTTGCCCGAGCTCATAGATTTTGGAACATGGTTCAGGGTTCAGGGCTTCAGGGCTTCGGGTTCAGGATTGAAGGTTTTGTGCTAAGGGTTCTGTACGACAGGATGAACTAGAAGACAAGCACCTCCTCCCACCCATCCGTTGGTTTTTGCCTAAACCCTAAACCCTAAACCCTAAACCCTAAACCCTAAACCCTAAACCCTAAACCCTAAACCCTAAACCCTAAACCCTAAACCCTAAACCCCAAACCCTAAACCCCAAACCCCAAACCCTAAACCCTAAACCCTAAACCCTAAACCCTAAACTCCAAACCCGAAACCCCAAACCCCATGGTTCCGCCTGGCTGCCAAGGCACCTTGGTTTTTCCTGGCCTCCTACTCACCTTGGCCGCGCCACTTCGGGACCAGCAGCTGGGAAGCACAGCTTAAGGTTTAGGGTTTAGGGTTTAGGGTTTAGGGTTTAGTGTTTAGGGTTTAGGGTTGTAGGGCTTTATGGGTTTTAGGGTTTTAGGGGTTTAGGGTGGCACTTTTGTGAGTTTTAAGTTTTCGTGAAGTCTTCGAATCCTTTAGTAGCTACATAGGGAGTATGACGATGGCTCAAACCATAGCAAGGACCCTCAGTAGTTTAGGCAGAATCTGCATGAACATATCGATCTTGTACATAATATGGCCAAATACGGATCCCCTAAGAAAAGCTGCAGGGAGAAGGAGCCGACCTTGGGGAAGATGGAGGCGGGCAGCGTGCGAGAGGAATGGCGGGAGCTGGTTGAAGTCTTCCGGGGGGCTTTGGGGGCTTAAGTTTCGGAATCGGCAGCCTTTGAGCAGTAGGGTTTTTTTTAGGGCATCTTGGCATTTGCAACTTCAGTGTAAGGCAAGTCCAGTATCAGCTGCAAGCCTAAGCAAATGTTGGCTTGAAGGCCTATGTTATGTACAGGGCTCAGGGTTCAGGGTCAAAGATCGCGTGACGCACTCCGAACAACAAAGACACAGCTCCTCCACTCTATACTAGGATTAGCTTCAAGAGCCTCCAAAAACATGACGCAACCATTGTCGTTGTGTATCTTGTTTCAGCTTTCCTGAAGCAAGCCCCAGCCTGCGACGCATTGGTCCCTTCTTGGGTATCCTGAAATGGGTTCGTAGTATACTAGACACCAGCTAAGAGACCCTATAAGTTTGGGGACTTGCCAAATGGGTCGAAGGAAACCACCCTTCACAGCAACACAGGTGAGGGTTCTCGGACGTGTGCTGGTCGGCGCCGGCGGTCTCCTGATGATCTTCGGCACTGCTGTTGTTGTTCATGACAAGATTTTGAACCGTAATTACTAAAGTAGCAAGCCTCTTGCTGCGCGCTTGCACAGGATTTTGCGTGCTTTTGACGGCTTTGCGTATGGTTGCGGCAACATGCGGCAACTACTTTTAAAAGTATACGCTTCAGGGAAGCAGGTGATTGCATTGCGTTGCAAGCAATCTCAAGTGCTGGATCAAAAGGAAAAGGGCATGTGGGACAAGGAAGGGTCCATCGAACACGCCTTCACCTGTTTGTAATGTAAAGAAGATCCCACGAAGACCTCAACCCTAAAACCTAAAGCCTAAAGCCTAAACCCTAAACCCTACACCCTAAACCCTAAACCCTAAACCCTAAACCCTAAACCCTAACCCACCCTATACCCTAACCCTAACCCTAAACCCTACCCTAAACCCTAAAACCCTAAACCCTAAACCCTACCCTAACCCTACCCTAAACCCTAACCCCAAACCCCAAACCCCAAACCCTAAACCCTAAACCCTAAACCCTAAACCCTAAACCCTAAACCCTAAACCCTAAACCCTAAACCCTAAACCCTAAACCCCTAACCCCTAATCCTAAACCCCAAACCCCAAACCCCAAACCCCAAACCCTAAACCCTAAGCTCTAAACCCGAAATAGCCTTGTGGCCACAGGCTTGGGCAAAGGAGACTCTGAGGAGACCCTATAAACCCTAAAACCTAGACCGAAAAGCCCTCTTCCCAAGACCCAATGTCGCGACACCTTAACTCTCTTTTCAAAACCAGGGTTTACGGTTTAGGGTTTAGGGTTTAGGGTTTGGGGTTTAGGCAGGCCTCAAAGCCTGCCCCAAGCCCACGATCCTGGGCAGGCGCCAGTGGACGTTCACTGGGATCGCTGCTTCCGGCTGAAAAGAAGGACCTACTCTGTAGGGTGCAGGGATTAGGGTTTAGGGTTTAGGGTTTGGGCTTAGGGTTTAGGGCTTAGAAGCTCTTATGACAAAGTAAGGCTTGTAAGGTGGGTCATGGTCAAAATGGGGTTCTAGGGGTTGCTGAGCAGACTTACTAAGTCAAAAGAGCTCCTAAGTGCCGCAAACTTGGGGTTTAGGGTTTATAGAGTTATGGGGTTTGTAGAGTTATTAGGGTTTTTAGAGTTGACAGGCTTATAGAACCATAGGGTTTATAGAGTTCTGGGGTTTTTAGAGTTTTAGGGTTTATAGAGTTACAGGGTTGATAGAGTTACAGGGTTTATAGAGTTCTAGGCATAAGTGGAATTCGGCACCTTGCATTCCCCTACCTTGAAGCTCTTTTGACTTCGTCAGTCTACTTAGGAACCCCTACAAGCCCGATTACAAACCCCATGGCCCACCTTACTAACGCAACTTCCTAAGTCAACAGAGCTTCCAAGTATAGTACCAAAAGACGACCCAGCCCCCCCCCCCCCCCCCCCCAGAACCCGACCCGAACCCGAAACCCGAAACCCGAAACCCGAAACCCGAAAACCCTAAACCCTAAAGAAACCCTAACCCTAAACCCTAAAACCCCTAAACCCTAAACCCTAAAACCCTAACCCCCCGAAACCCTAAACCCTAAACCCTAAACCCTAAACCCTAAACCCTAAACCCTAAACCCTAAACCCTAAACCCTAAACCCTAAACCCTAAACCCTAAACCCTAAACCCTAAACCCTAAACCCTAAACCCTAAACCCTAAACCCTAAACCCTAAACCCTCTAACCCTAACCCTAACCCTAAACCCGCCCGCCACCCCTCTCACTTCTGTTGGGGTAGGCGGGCGCTGTCGAGCGGCAGCGAGACCAAGCAGGCTGAGCTGGGCAGCGAAGCCTGCAGGCTACACCCCTGAGGAGAGTCGCCTAGCTAGAGTCGCCTAGCAAGTCCCTAATATATTTGTATTACCCTAAACCTGGCCATTTTGCTGGGCGGAGGCGCGCCCTTTAAAACGGATACCCCCCCCCCCCTATCCGAGTTCAATTGCGGGTTGGCCCCGGGCCTTTAAAACGGATACCCCCCCCCTATCCGAAGTCAATTTGGGGGCTGCCCGGGCCTTTAACCAGGATACCCCCCCCCTATCCGAAATCAATTGTGGGGGGGCCCCGGGCCTTTAAAACGGATACCCCCCCCCCCTCCCTATCCGAAGTCAATTTGGGGGCTGCCCGGGCCTTTAACCAGGATCCCCCCCCCCCCCTATCCGAATTCAATTGCGGGGGGTCCCGGGCCTTTGAAACGGATACCCCCCCTATCCGACGTCAATTTGGGGGCTGCCCGGGCCTTTCACCAGGATACCCCCCCTATCCGAATTCAATTGCCGGGGGGGTCAATGCTTGGCGGAGGCGCGCCCTTTAAAACGGATACCCCCCCCCCCCTATCCGAAGTGAATTTGGGGGCTGCCCGGACACCGGGCCTTTTGCCACCCAGCCTTGACACTCCGGCAAAGCGAATAGAAACAATGAGAAGGCCCTGATTTTCTCATGACCTTCACACGGCATCTTTAAAACAGGCCTTCTCCATGCAGCCCCCCTCGAAATCAAGTTGGGGGGGGGGGTGGCTGCCACGCAGCCTTGACAATCTCCCCCAACGCAAAACCTGGTTTTTCTTTCGGAAGTTCACAAGGTCTCTTTGGAGCAACAAGCCTTTTGCCATGCAGCCTTGACACTCCGGCAAAAGAACAGAAACAATGAGAAGGCCCTCCGGCCGAAGACTTCCCCGAATACAACACAGGGTTTCTTCTCTCCAAGCCTCTAGACATGACCTTCTACGGTTTCTTTAGAACAACAGGCCTTTCGCCTCAACGTCAAACCTAGTTTTTCTCTCGGAAGCTTCTAGACATGACCTTCGCGCGGTATCTTTAGAACAACAGGCCTTTCGCCGTACATTCTCGACACTCCGGCAAAGAGAATAGGGACAATGAAAAGGCCCTGCGGCCGAAGATGCCCCCCAACGCGAAACCTAATTTTTCTCTCCAAAACTCCTAATTCTAATTAATGACTTTCTCAAAACATCTTCTTAAATGTTACCTGGCAGCAGGGCATCTTCATAGGCAAGCTCCATGACATCAGAAAGCATATTAGGTATTAGTCCGAAGTACAGTGGTGGACGCAGAAGTGTTTGAAGGTGGGCTGGCTTTGGTTTGGCTGGCTCCGGCTTGGTTTCGTTTTGAGTAGTGTTTGGGTGGCCTTGGGGTGGGCATGTCTGCACACAACTGCGTACAGCTGACCCGTGCTACACCCTAAACCCTAAACCCTAAACCCTAAACCCTAAACCCTAAACCCTAAACCCTAAACCCTAAACCCTAAACCCCTCCTTTGCGGTGGCCCTTTTTGCCTCTAAGCTGCCCAGCCTGGCCTGTGCTTTCTGCCACGCGCCTGGTCGACCGAGGAGCCTCCGGTGTGTTAGGGTTTAGGGTTTAGGGTTTAGGGTTTAGGGTTTAGGGTTTAGGGTTTAGGGCTTAGGGTTTAGGGTTTAGGGTTTAGGGCTTAGGGTTTGAGGCGGTTCGGGTAGATGAGTTTCGAGCACATTGACAGAAAATGCATGCGCCTCCCCAGTGCACGGCCCTGATAAAACCCACCGGCCCCAAAACCCCGAAACCCGCAAACCCCCCAAAACCCCCAAACACCCCAAAAAAACCCAAAACCCCCAAACCCTTAAAAAACCAAAAGCCCTAAACTCTAAAACCCTAAACTAAAAACCCTAAACCCCATTGGAAGCTTCAGGAGGCCCATGCGAAACGTCACGTTGGAGACGGCTGCGGCAGAAGCTGCCCTGCTGCTTGATCACACTGAGGTTTAGGGTTTAGGGTTTCGGGTTTCGGGTTTCGGGTTTAGGGTTTGGGGTTTGGGGTTTGGGGCTACATGCTTATCCTTTCCTCAGAAGTTTAAGGCTATACGGCTATACATGGTTTGGGTTTTAACAGGTGATCTAGGTGTTGGCCAGCATTTGGAAATCTTCCACTCCGTTCTTTGAAAGCCCGGACTCTTTGGGGGGGGGATTGGGGGTGTAGGGGTCAGGCTCCAACTTAAACCCTAAACCCTAAACCCTAAATCCTAATCCCTAAGCCCTAAACCCTAAACCGCAATGTCCCTCGAGAGGGGGTGGGGGAGGGGGTTGTTCGGCATGGGACGGATCTTGCCTCGAGAAAGAGGCGGGCTAGGCAAATCGGCACCATCTTGAGCCGCACTGAGAACCCCAAGCCCGAAACCGTAAACCCCAAACCCTGAACCCTAACCCTAAACTTTTAACCCATGGCAGCACTCAAATTTTTGGGGGTTCAGGGGTTTAGGGTTAGGGTTTAGGGTTTTAGGGTTTAGGGTTTAGGGTTCAGGGGTTTAGGGCACAGACTCACCCCCCCTGCGTTCCTGACTCACGCCTGCCCAGTTCCCAACACGCGCCCCCCCTGTTCCCAACACACCCTCGGCCCGCTCCCGACACTTGTAACCGACTCAACCTTCATCCTAATTCGGGTCTTAGGGTAGGGTTTAAAGTACAGCGCAATTATTTTTGGCAAGGCCCGTGAAACGCCCGATAAACAAGATCGCCTGTGGTTGTCGGGCTCCCGGGCGCTAGAAGCCATGTGATCCAGTAGCAAAGTTGGGAACTTGTGTCCTGGCGGGCCGGGGCCTAAGCCCAGCAATTTCTTGGCTCACAGCTATTCCGACCTGTTTGACCAATCCAGCGGTGAATCGAAGAAAATGTTCCCGTTGTTCGCGCTCTTGCTCCTCGCATCTGTCTCATCCCACAGAGTGAGAGACTCGGAAGAAGCGAGGCTATCGGTGGCATCGGTGACCGACCAAAATGTCTCAGCAAAGGCTAAGAAGGGACAGCCGTGCTCGTGCTACGAGGAGCAGTTTCTCAGTAGTTTACGGAATGCACGTTACACTTTTTGGGCTACTAGAATCCCCTTGTAGAGCTTAAAGTGTACACTTTTTCTGGGGCTCATGAACTCAGCAACGAAGGTTTCGGGTGCTAAAGGAGGAGTCGACTTGCTGCAACGAGGGCTTGGTCTGCGATGTGAAGAGCCACACTTGCAAAGCCGCTCTGGGCAAGAGGTGTGACTGGCACCTGGTGGCTCTATACCCCTTGGGAACTACTTTTTCTGTATTTTGTTTATATGAAAACCCAAGAGGTTTTTTTTTTTTTTTTTTTTTTTTTTTTTTTTTTTTTTTTTTTTTTTTTTTTTTAATAATAGTTTTTGTGTATACAAAACCCAAGAGGATATCAAAGGTATCATTTTTTATTCAGGTTCTAAGGGGAGTCTAGGTGGGCACAGAGTGTGCCAGCTCCGCGACCTATGCCGCAAGCACCGAGTGCTTTGCCCATCGCTGCTGCCTGAAGTCCGGCGAGCACGTCCTGCAGCACCTGGACCCTGCCACAGGCAACCTCACCTATCACTCGAGACGGGATTGTTGCACAGGATCCATGTGGCTACGGATGTACAACACGCGGCCGAAGCAAATGGAGGCCATTTTTGGAGACAAGCCCTACTGGGTTTGCATGTGAAACTCCCCCCCCAGCCGAACAAAAAATGTGTTGCCAGCGTGCCAGGTGAGGTTGACGGGCGGCTTTTCAGTTGTTCTATACTTGGAGGTTCATGGTGCTTAATTACCAAGGAAAACTGTACTTATACCCCACTTCTGAGCCCCTTACTGTTGCACCTGCTTTAGTATTGGTCCCCTCTTTAGAGACAATTTGGCTGAGTTATTCAGGACACCAGGATGGGCTGTTAATAATGAACCCTCTCAAGAAACCTTTTAAGAGATTCTCGGGCGTAATGGCCCAATCCTGGTAAAGGGACCAAAAGCCATAGTTCAGCCCTGCACGAGCCTTGAATAAAGGCGTGGTTTAGGGTTTCGGCCTTAGAGTTACAACCCTACATCAATCCCTCACGAGCCCCAATCCCCAACAAAGGCCAAATAAGCCTTACACACCAGCGTATACACTACGACATCCAGGGTACGCCTAGAAATAGACCCGAAGCCCTAAACCGTGAGGTCAAGGAGGTGGGCAACGTTATTGGTCACACCCGCATTGCACTGTCAGGCGGGGGCGCAGTTGAAGGTTTAGGATAGTACGTGCGTACGTACGTACGTACGCATATGTATGTATGTATGTATGTAGGTAGGTATGTATGGTATGTATGGTATGTATGGTATGTATGGTATGTATGGTATGTATGGTATGTATGGTATGTATGGTATGTATGGTATGTATGGTATGTATGGTATGTATGGTATGTATGGTATGTATGGTATGTATGGTATGTATGGTATGTATGGTGTGTATGGTGTGTATGGTGTGTATGGTGTGTATGGTATGATGGTATGATGGTATGTATGTATGTATGAATGAATGAAAGTATGTATGTATGTATGTATGTATGTATGTATGTATGTATGTATGTATGTATGTATGTATGTATGTATGTATGTATGTATGTATGTACGTGTGGTACGTATGTATGGTATGCACGTTATGTATGTTACTTTGGTTCCAATGAATGTAATGTACGTAATGTATGTAGTGTATGTAATGTATATATGCATTGGATGTAAATGGTATGTGATGTATGTAATGTGCGCCATGCATGTTAGTGTATGTGATGTATGTAATGTATGTATGCATGTACGCATGCATGCTATATATCGTGTGTGTCAGCGAGCATCATGAGCTTCAGACGCCCGGTCTTTCCAAGGACCCACAATATATTCTAAGTTGCAATCCTGTGTGAAGGGAACTGGACACTCATGGCCGGAAATCTTAGGGTTGAAGCAGTTGGATTCAGGGTGCGCAGGATCAGACGGCGAGAAGTTGGGATTTCGGGCTTTAGCGTTTAAGGTGTTGCTTTGGGGGTGCTTGTGCATTGTGTACCTATGGCCCGAAGCCCCAAGTTTCGAAGCTTCACGGAACAATGGTAGGCATCAGGGGGGCTAGTGGCCGCAAGTGTTGGACAGGCACACCCATCGAGAACAAAGTGGACGAGCTTCACTCGATCTTTGACTTTGTGAACTATGGGTACCTGGGAAGCCATGCCGCTTGGCTTCGACTAGCCTAAAACCCTCACATAAACCAGCCATAAAATCTATAGAGAGGGTTTAGGGTTTAGGGTGTAGGGCTTAGGGTTCAGGGTTTAGGGCTTCGGGTTTAGGGTCTACACCCCAAACCCCCAACTTGTGAACGGGTGCCTTGGGAAGCCCTGCTGCTTGGGTCGAAGGCATCGAGGCAGCCCACGAGCAACAAATGTACATTGGGGGAAACCCCAAACCCCAAACCCCAAACCCGAAACCCGAAACCCGAAACCCGAAACCCGAAACCCGAAACCCTAAACCCTAAACCCTAAACCCTAAACCCTAAACCCTAAACCCTAAACCCTAAACCCTAAACCCTAAGGGATAGAATAGCGTTTGTGGTGCTGGGGGTTTAGGGTTTGGAGTTTAGGAGTGCTAGGATCTTGCACTGTGTCAAAGAGTTAGACGTGTATGCATGCTGAGGAAACTGTTTAGTATGAGCACGCCCCTCTCTTAGTCATAAAAAGTCCTGCAAAGGCTTCTCAGAGCGGGGGCAGGGGTTCTCGTAGTTACTCGTCCCTAGCGTCGTTCGGGCGTAGTAGCGGCTGGGGTTTAAGCATTGAGGGCTTTTTCGAGATTAAAGCTGCTAGTATCCTGATTTCAAGGTTTTCTTCGAGTCGGGTCTCTGAACCCACCCACCCAACTCAACTGTGGGTTTCGGGCTGCAGGTTTACTTGGACCCCGGGAAACGGCTTGTTTTTAGTGTCGCAGCTTGCTTTTTCCGAGACACCAACGAGCCCAAAATTTTCTGTCCGCTTGCTGCTGCGGCTTCTGGTTTTGGGTCTTCCCTTAAGGGGTGTAAGGAGGAAATTGTACAAATGAACCTTAATCTCAATCTTCTTCCCCTATACGACCCCTATATATACCTTACATAGTCCCTATAGACCTAAGTGGCCCCGAACTGGCCACTAAAGAACCCGTCCCTTCTAAAAGGGTCCCCTTGACTCGTGCCCAGACACCTTCAAGCGGACGTTTTCCGTGGTGATTGAGAAAGGAGCTCCACCCTCGCCACCATCCACCCCCACAGTCTATGAAGTTCCTGGGCAACAGTCCACGACAACAGCCCAAACGAGCTCGCCACTTTCCCACAAACCCTAAGCCCTAAGCCAGGAAGAATGGAAACCCCAAAGGTAAGGTGCTGTCAGTTGATTGCCACAACATGGTTGTTCTTGTTGTCTCTCTGCTCTAATTTCATTGAGAGCTACTGCTGTACGGAAAGCCGCCCCCCCTTCAACCCATGGACGCATAGACCTTGCAGACAACAAGCGCTTCTTTTTCGAGCGTGTAGTGCCAACTGCATACTTTGCTTGTGTGTCGGGAACATGTGCGTGTCGCGCAACTACTGACCGAACGCGGTTGTTTGAGGTCCAAGTCTCTCTCGCGCGCTTGCACTCGCAGAATGGCATCAATTGCTGTCTTTGTGCTCACGCAAATGTGCTCCCTCCCAGGCGTGCGGTGACAAATGCGTATTGTGCATGTGTGTCGAGAACATGCGCGTGAGGCGCGTGCACATTGGGGGAACGGCTTCAACATATGTCTTTGTGATGCGACTTTACGCGGGGTGATGTGACTTCGCTCGCGGCCGCGTGTCACTGGGGAGATGTGACTTCACACGCAAAGATGTGAGTTAACCTAGCCCCTAGTAAAACCCTAAAACCCTAAAACCCCAAAACCCTAAAACCCTAAAACCCTAAATTCCTGAAACCCTGAACCCTAAGCCCTAAAACCCGAAAACCCTAAACCCTGAAACCCTGAAACCCTGAAACCCTGAAACCCTGAAACCCTGAAACCCTGAAACCCTGAAACCCTGAAACCCTGAAACCCTGAAACCCTGAAACCCTGAAACCCTGAAACCCTGAAACCCTGAAACCCTAGACCCTAAACTCTAAACCCTAAACCCTAAACCCTGGCTTCCCCAAGAAGGAGCCACGACGTACACCGGGACCCAGCGACGGCGGTGAAGCGCCCGATGCCACAGCAGGACCGCTCCGGAGCACCTGGATTCCTTGGCAACCATTAGGGATTAGGGTTTAGGGTTTAGGGTTTAGGGTTTAGGGTTTAGGGTTTAGGGTGTTGTGTGTTCATAGGGTTTAGCGTTTGGGGTTTCGGGTTTACATACAGTAATCTCGGACCCCAAACATCCATAAATTCAATAAACATCCCCAAGCCCTTCAAGTCTCAAGCCCAAAATCCATACCCCAGAGTCGTGACGTCCAAGCCCATTTTTTCGCTCAAGATTGTCCTCCTCCAGATGGGCCCTAAATCCTGAACCCTACACCCCAAACCCTAAACCCCACAACCCCATATACGAATTTTGCTGACATATACACCGAGCGGTGGTTTGGCAGAAGTGGGGACGGTTGCTTGGGGAATTTGACAAGGTTTAGGGTTCAGGGTTCAGGGTTCAGGGTTTTCCTCTTAGTCCCTACTGGTTCTTTTTGCTGATCACAGTTCTATTTCATGTGGGGACGACATTGTGTTGATAGATAGGGGTCACGCTATCTCAACTAGCAGAGTGGTCCTGGCGGTCGAGGCTGAAGGCAGAAGCAGCGGGTTTAGGGTTTAGAGTTTAGGGTTTAGGGCTTAGGGTTTAGGGTTTAGGGTTTGGGTTAGGGTTTAGGGTTTTTGGTAATCAACAGCCAAACTGTGTGTACGGCAGCAGGCGACCCAGTACTTTCCTTCACAAACACTTTCGCAACCGCACACGGCACCAGTTCGAGCTGGTGCAAGCAACGGCTACTCCGCCGGATGACCCAGTCCACCACGTGCGTTTTAGGGTTTAGGATTTAGGGTTTAGGGTTTGGGGTTTAGGGTCTGGGGTGGATATGAGGACAGGGTCAGATTTGCGAAATCTTGACTAAGCGGCCACGCCGCCAAGGATTGGTTTCATCCGGTGAGTACGGAAGCAATCGTTTTCTAAAGCGCGTTTGGAATCACATGTAAGAGGAGGCCACGTTCTCGCTAGCGAGTCTGTTTTACGCTGTAGTGAGCAACTACCAAAAGCACGCGGCCAGCCCAAAAATACTCTAGAAGCCCCGAAGCCTACTTGCTCCTGCGGAACCTAACTCCTAAACCCTTGATAACTTCCAAACCTCCAACACTTCCCCTAAACCCTAAACCTTAAACCCTAAACCCCAAACCCCAAACCCGAAACCCGAAACCCTAAACCCCAAACCCCAAACCCTAAATTCAAATCTCAAGCTCTGGAGTTCGGAGGCACTGCCCAGCAAGCGCACGAAGTGAGTGGAGCTCGTGCAGGCTTGGCAGCTGTTGCTCCGGGCCCTGGGTTTAGGGTTTAGGGTTTAGGGTTTAGGGTTTTTTGCAAGAGTTGCCAAAACAATCATGCGGAGCCCTACATTAGGGCTTAGGGTTTAGGGGTTTAGGGTTTAGGATTTAGGATTTCTTTGTCCACAGGGTGTGGCGCACATCGCCCAG